TCCGTTTGGAACGGGGTCTCGTCCCGGACCGGTCCCGGACCGGTTCAAAAAACCGGGACAGGTACCGGGATAGGTCAAATCCCGGACCGTCCCGGACCGCGCCCACCCCTAAGAATTAAGGGGACAGAGTAGAACTAGGGCTGGGAGTCTTGCAAATATGCACACAAATTTCATTTTTCTGGGATGATCCTTCGCTCTTCAGATCTTCACCTCACTTTCGTCAGAAATTAGAAATAAAAAATTCAGAATCAGCCTCGACGGGAGTTCTACACCTCACCTTCTCACTTGAGTCGTGACTCGCGATTGCCCCTCCGCTTCTTCCACTCATCGGTGTCCTCTCACTCGTTGGAGTTGCGATTTAGGGCTTGTATTTTATGCTTTATTAACCTCCAATTGGTTCTTTTTTGTGTGTAGAAGATGTGGTGTGAGGCAATTTGTTAATTGTGTTGTGATTGGTATTAACATTTATTTTGTGATTTGGATATGTTGTGTTGAGTTGTGATTGGATTTAAAACTTGGAACTATTGTTAAGCCTGTTTTTGAGCTTGTTGTTGTGAACTTTGGATTTTTAAGCTTCCTGTTGTTGTGAATTTGGAATTTTTAAGTTCCTGGTGTGGTGTGTTGTATTGTGATTTTTCACTGTCTTGGTCTGTGTATGTGAATTGTGAATTTCAGTTTTTATCGGTTTGAACCGAAACCGAACCGTTTTATAGGTAACCGAAAATCGGTTACCGACTTCTTATTGGTTCAATTTCGGTTTGAATATTAGTGAAACTGAACACTATCGATTCGGTATCGGTTTTTTGTTATCGGTTCGGTAACCGAACCGATGCCAGCCCTAGTAATGATAGTGTAGGAAAACAATGGAGACGGTTATACATCTAAAGACAACTAAGAAAAGTTGAAATGCATATAAGTATGATAAAAAATCAAAAAGAGATGGTAAGAAACGGGGAAAAAATGAGTGCGGTAGCCCAAGCCTATATATGGAGCCCGGTGCCAAAGCGTTACTAGAAACGGGTTGGGTAAATGGGTACGTTATCGCACGGTCCCCAATAGAATCGGCTCTGATATCATATAAGAAATGAGAGGAAAAACAAGTGCAGTCCCACGCACGTGAGCGGACTAAGATAAGGAAAGCCAAGATGAACCTCAAGTGAAGTTCCATCCGAAAACTAATTGGTAGAAGGCGGAGTAGCTCACTAGACTTATAAATTAGGTCTATTATCCCTATATAAACAATGTGAGACAACTCACAAGTGAATATTCTAATACGCCCTTCACTTGTGAATCCTTAATAAGAAGCCCAAGCCCATACGGAGTTGGGTGCCCAAGTCCTACGAAACGGGATATTCTAATACGCCCACTCACTTGCGAGTTCTTAATAAGAAGCCCAAGCCCATATACGGAGTCGGGTGCCCAAGCCCTACGAAAAACGGGTTGAGTAAACGGGTACGTCATCGCACGGTTCTAATAGAACCGACTCTGATACCATGTAAGAAATGGGGAGAAAAATGGATGCGGTCCCACGCATATGAAGCCCAAGTGAGGTTCCATCCCAAAACCAATTGGTAGAAGGAGGACTATCCCACTAGACTTATAAATTAGATCTATTTTCTCTATATAAACGATGTGAGACAACTCACAAGTGAATATTCTAATAGAGATGAAGTTGTATACCACGTACAATTTAGTTTGCTCCCTTATTTGATTGAATATTTCGCATTTTTAACATACATTCTGCAATTTTCATTAGTTGTTGACTTGGTGTACTCATGCGAAAACTATTAGACTATTGTTGATGAGCTTTAACTCTTAAATTTTCCTTTGCACCATCGACAAACAACTCTAAATATATAGTAGTTCTTAATTGTTTTGAAAAAAAAAATAACAAATCTATTCACCGTTCCTATTTATTTATTTATTATTTATTTTAAACTCTTGCTATGTATAGATATAGAGAGAGATCATACTTTTGTGATTATACTTGCTTTTCTAACATTGTTTGCCCTTTAAAAATGTAAAGCATGTTATTTTTAATTAAATCAAAACTTAGAAAAAAAAGGGGTTACTCCATGTTTATATATGTTTCTACTGTTGAAGTGTTCATATTCACTTGCATGCAGATGAAGTTTTTGGGAGCATGCAGACGGTGGCAAGTTTATTTTTTGTTTCTGTTTCTTTTATCTGTTAGAGTGCGTGACATGCTTTTGTTCTTTGCTTTTATGCATTTCTTTTAGTTGTTGCTTTTATTATTTTCTGGCACGTGTGCCTTTATCATTGGACACGCTTAGGGAAGTTTTCCCTTTTATTTTGCGTGAACTCATCCTCTCCATTTGAATCTGGTTTTTAATGACAATTGTGTAAGCTTGAGGAAAATGGTGTTTTACATGTTCCTTTCGTCCGTTTAATCTCGCATCTACATTTCTACATGGTATCTAGAGCAGGATGATTTGAGCTTTTTCAATGGCGCACAACAGAGACGAGCATGTGAGAGAAATCGTATGCAACACCTACTCGAGAGACATCGATCCTTTGTCTCTTCATGGATCTGATATTCCTAGCATAGTATTGGTCATAATGCTCACCGACGCCACCTACTTACATTGGAGCTGAGCCATGAAGCTAGCTCTCGGCGCAAAATCCAAACTCGGCTTCATCAACGGAACAGTTGAAGTTCCAGAGAAAAACACAGATGTTTACATTCAGTATCAGAAGGTAAAATCTATGGTCATATCTTGGTCATTAAATTCCATTTCAAAAGATATTATTGAAGTCTTCATATATGCAAAATCTGCCAAACAGTTATGGGATGAGCTAGCTGAGAGATATGGTGATAGTAATGGTCCTCTTAAGT